GTAAAACAACTTTTCTCCAAAATGTCACCTTCTACAAATCTGCCCTTCTGAAATACAACTCCTGCCTCCACACTGCTAAACAAACCCACTACACCACTTTCATTGAAAACCTGTTATCCAATTCTTGTCAACTCTTTAGTACCCTTAATTCCCTACTTCATCCCCAACTAATTCCACCCTCTAACTTACTCACTGCCCAGGAGATTGCCAATCATTTCAAAACCAAAATCGATACAATTTGTGGTGATATCTCCAGTGTCATGCTTTCTCCTTCAACCAGCATACTGGGTCCATCATCACACTCAATACTTTCCTCCTTTGACCCTGTAACCACTGAGGAAGTTGCCAAACTCTTTCTGAGGGTTCGATCCACCTATGGCTGGCTTAACTAATCCATGGCTGCTACCCACTTTCTGCCAATTCCTTCACTGGTTTCTACTTGCTCACTGTATAAAGTTCAAAATACTAACCACAATATACAAAGCCATCCACAACACTGTCCCCAGCTGCATCACCAATCTCATCTGTAGAGATCACCCAAATCGTCCTCTGCTCCTCCAAAGACCTCCTGCTCTCTAGCTCCCTTGTTACCGCCTCCCATTCTCACCTCCAGGACTTCTCCAGAATCTCTACTATCCTCTAGAACTCCCTACCCCAGGATGGACAGTAAACTTCTACCCTGTCCACCTTTAGGTGATATTTGAAAACGTATTTATTCAGGGAAGCCTACCCTACCTCCACCTAAAATCTGTATTCTGACCTTCTCCATCAGATCAACCCCTGCAGCTATTACCTTTTGTACCACCTTCCCCTCTTTTTAGATTGTAAGCTCCATGAGCAGGGCCCTCCTGTCACTTCTGTATTGAACTGTATTTTATTTCTATTGTTTCCCTTTATAATGTATATTGTTGGTGCTTTATAAAGCATGGGGGTGGGCACTGCCCTGGGAAATGTGCCAAATAAAAAAAAAAAAATTAAAAATTAATTCAGGTAGAAGAAATAATTTTTTGAAATGATTAAAGGGAAACATGAAAAATGCCAAATTCCTTTAACCACTTGACCTCTGGAAGAATTACCCCCTTTATGACCAGGCCATTTTTTGTTTTTTGGCACTGTGTGACTTTAACTGACAATTGCACTGTCATACAACCCTGTACACAAATTAAATTTATATAATTTGTTTCACACAAATAAAACTTTTTGTTTGGAGGTATTTTGATCACCGCTGGGTTTTATTTTTTGCACTACAAACGGACTGAAAAGATTGAAAATTCAGAAAATTTCAGAAAAATATATAATATTGGGGGTTTGTGTAATCTTCAGGCCTAAAGTGATTTTTTTTAAACGTGTGCAAAAAAATGCAAACACGTCTCTGGCAGCGAAAGGGTTAAAGAAAGCTGAAAAATAATTAATTTACTAGCCACATTACCAGATGAATAAAAGGAAAAAAGCCTAAATGAAAGAAAATAGCCACCACAGCTGAAATATATTGCATTTTTGTGTTTGGGTTAAGATTCGCTTTTATGCTACCCTGGTGTTTAAGGATGAGCTGTAGTTTTTGGAAATCTCTTTGCTGCCGCTGACTAAATATGAACATATACATATTTGATAAATTACATCACCCAGGATACGTTGCCCATTTTTACATTCTGCAGTGGGGACTATGAGTTGTCATTTGCAATGAGCAGTCTTTGGGAGTGGATCATATTGGTGGTTTGGGTGGATCAACGAGTGTCATTCATCATAACTGATATGTCTGCATAGCTGGATGATGTGATGATGATGGATTTACATTGTGAGACATTTTTTGAGGTTTTGAATTTAATAAAGGACATGTCAAAAAGTGTGTGTCTTAATATCCTATGTATCCTTTACCCATTTACATGAGGGGCTGTATCTTATTTTCAAAGGAGCCTTCCATGTCTCCATAAGCCCCCCTGCCAACAAACCTCAACAAACAGTGGGCCAGGGTTGTGGGGAAGATACTTCCCTGACAAGGTACTGTCCACATGTTGGGGGCCTGGTGTGGCCTGGTATGGTTTCACTTGCTTGTCCCCTTTGCTGAAGAGCCAGGTCATATGCTCAGATAAGGGTCCGATATATCTTTTGCGGAACCCATACATTTTTTTCTCATGGAGGGTCCCCCTTGACATCTATTCCAGACTTTCATCAAGAATTGGGGTCTAGCATGTATTTTTAAGGGAAGTCCCACAATGTAATTTTGTTCTTGTGTTGGGCCCCCCATTAATATCTATACCAAGCCCTCATCTAGGCTAGGAGTCTTTAGATTTTTAAATGAAGGATAATCCTCAGTCTTTTTCTTACAAACAAAAGTAAGCAGTCAGGGGCTGTCTTTGCTGGCAATTTAAATGCCATTTTTTTATACATTGTACCACTTCACAGAAAAGTTGACGGCATCCCCAAGGCTTATCATTTAAATTAATTTTTATTGTTGCCCTTGAAGCATGAATAAAATTGCTGCTCCCCACCAAACAGATTTTTTTTTCTTCTTTTAGGGCAGACACATTTTTTTTTGCACATGGCTCCCTGTTAAAATCCATACCAGTTCCAAATGGTCTGGGGTGGATTTTGGTTCACCCATGTCATAACATATATATATAAAGTGACATATGTGGGGACTTGTTTTAAAGGTTTATTACAGTTTGTTAAGAATATATACTTAATTGAATGTCTATAGCCAGTGCCAGATTTATAAGGGGGCAGAAGGGGCCCCCTCTATACAAAAATAATGTAAAACAATATAAAAATTATAAAACATTATAAAACATGTCGTTGTCACAATAACGCATGCCCACGGCGATTAGCTAACTGGGGAGTGGTCCTTGATTGGCATAAAGAGGGAATTATGAGGACTTATTTGAGCATATAAGACTAGAGGTGATACACTTTCAAAGCCTGCACTACCTTTGGCCACCACTAGAGACTCCAATCTAGCTGGCTGACCACACACACAGGCAGATACAAGTGTGTGTGTGTGTGTGTGTGTGTGTGTGTGTGTGTGTGTGTGTGTGTGTGTGTATATATATACGATCTGGTGCACTCTTATGGTTGGAGAGCAGTCTAGCAGTTAGCACACCCTTCTAGGATTCCTTCAGCTATCCTACAAGCTAGAACCCCAGTGTTAATCACTCTTCAACTGTCCACCCCCCACACCCAACAAACGGTAGCTTGACACCACCCAACAGTTTGTGTGCAGACTGGTTTGCTGGGCCACCACACACACAAAGATCTCTGTCTGGAAGATCTGCTACTTTACAATCTGCATGCAATCTGCCAACACACAGTGCAATTGCATATGGATTGGCAATTAAGTTAGTGTGTAGACACTAAAGCGCAACAATCTCTTCAGGGATATGAGCCCTAGCTTAAGTACACAGAAGTCACTTATTAACTTTATAATTTAATATCATGAAAGTGGGCAGTGCACAAAATATGTAAAAGAAAAAAAAAGTTACAGAAAATACAAAAAAAGACATACACAATTAGCTATTCACTGTGAAATAAAGAGAGAATAAAAACAGCAATAAACTTTGCCAAAGTTTATCCTCAACAGAAGCATGTCGGAAAGTCCATAATTCCCCAGTCAGAGGGACTGGCTTCGTAGGAAACACCCCATTCATATCCCATGCTACTCAATTTATTAGAATATGGATGTGGGCTGGACTTTAGCACTTGACCAATCAACCCTGGAGGATGTTCCCATGCCAGCCCACAGAACGTTCCATGTTCTGAAGTGCCCAGAGTTGAATTAGCCAGTTTCGGCTCTGGTGGCTGAGTCAAGGATAGTATTCCCGACGCCAGCATGTCGGTTCAATCGTGATAGTACCAATCATTGTTCAGCTGTCACAATTAGGCAGCGTATAACCATTTTCTGTGTTTTTCTGGCATTCTACATAGGCAAATACAGTTTTACATGTATATGTAGCCTAAAATGTGTCCAGTCAGAATTATTTTCATCTTTCTGCAATTAATATTTTAGCTTTTATGAGAGATAAAATAGATTCCTCTGATCTGTTGGTATAACTCAAAGCTGGCAGACATTTCGGAGCCTTCTTCCTGTCCCCTGCGGTTTCTTGAAGCCGAAATGGCTAGAGCTCTTCTTTTGAAACTTCAAGAAGGTGAGAAATCGATGTCCATCCTGATAGGAAAGTTTTATTGGCATCCAGGTGTCAACTCTAGCCTTGAACCTTGCTCTGTCCTTTCAAACGTTAATTGAAAAACATATGTCTATGACTGATTGAAGAATAACGTATCTTTAATAACACAGGATTACACTATATCTACAATTACACTACTATTACAGATCACATCTCAGCTACTGATAAAATGATTCTACTCTTACATTTATGTTGCTATAATAACAAACATTTTATTAAATGTCTCTTGTAATAGTGTGCCTGTCATCATCTGTAAAAGTTTTTTCTCTAGTATATTGTTTCATTTTTAAAAATGAATTAAGGTGGCTCAAGTGAACCAAACACACGCTTGTGCTCTTAACCACTTGCCCTCCTGTGGATTTACCCCCCTTCCTGACCAGGCCATTTTTTGCATTACGGCGCTGCATTACTTTAACTGCCAATTGCACGGTCATGCAACACTGCACCCAAATGAAATTTACATCCTTTTTTCCCATGAATAGAGCTTTCTTTCAGTGGTATTTGATTGCCTGTGCGTTTTCTATTTTTTGCGCTATAAAAAAAGACCCACAATTTTGAGAAAAAAGCAATATTTGTTTACTTTTTGCTATTAAACATGTCCAGTAAAAAAATGCTTAAAATCTAATTTTGTCATCAATTTAGGCCAAAATGTATTTTGCTACATGTCTTTGCTAAAAAAAGAAAATCTGAATATGTGTAAATTAATTGGTTTACGGGAAATTTATAGCGTTTACAAATGGCGGTATATTTACTGGGCTTTTTTTTAAATTACAAATTATTTTTACTTACTAGTAATGGCAGCAATCAGAGAATTATAGCGGTACTGTGGGACTGCGGCAGACATTCTGACAGTGGGGGGAACTGACTTGGTGTCACTGACATCCCTAGTGACATCAATACAGTGATTAGTGCTAATAAAAAGCATTGACACTGTACTAATGGCACTGGGCAGGAAGGGGTTAACATGTAAGGTGATCAAAGGGTTAACTGTGTGCTACTATGGGGCTATGTGTTTGTGCTTCACTGTAAGAACACTGCTTTGCATGGCTGTGCATAGCACAGCCATGCAAAGCAGTGTGCAGTTACTGACAGGAGAGAGAACTGTTTTGTTTATAAACAGTTCTCCCCCCTGTTGGAGATGCTCGGCAATCACTGGGCAGCAGCAAGTAATCACCGGCCGGGGCCCGGTGTTTGACAGCCGCGGTCACGAATGGCGTGCTCCCCCTACTCGGAAATGCAAAATCACGTATATATACTTCTGTACTTCTGCTATAGGGCGGACGGAAAGCGGTTAAGGACTATGACTGTATGTGTGTGTGCACATTTGACTTCAGAATTATGTTATGCCATGTATTTAACCCCTTGCCTACAGGGCGCTTTTACCCCCTTCCTGCCCAGGCCAATTTTCAGCTTTCAGCACTGTCACACTTTGAATGACAATTGCACAGTCATGCAACACTGTACTCATATGAAATTTTTATAATTTTTTTGTGACAGAGCTTTCTTTTGGTGGTATTTAACCACCACTGTTTTTTTTTTTTTTTTTGCTAAACAATCCATAAACAACTGAAAATTTTGAGGAAAAAAAAGTTTTTTCTTAGTTTCTGTTATAAAATGTTGTAAATAAGTAATTTTTCTCCTTCACTGATGTGCACTAATGAGGCTGCAGTGATGGGCACTGATAGGCGGCACTGACTGGCACTGTTAAGCGGCACTGACTAGAACTGTTAGGCGACACTGACGGGCACTGACTGGTACTGCTAGGTAGCACTGACTGGCACTGATAGGTAGCACTGTTAGGTAGTACTGACTGGCACTGATAGTTGGCACTGAAAGATAGCGTAGATGGGCACTGATATGTGGCATTAATGTGCACTGGTAGGCACTGATATGTGGCATTGATGTGGCACTGATGGGCACTGGCAGGTGACATTGATGAACACAGACTATTAGTACTGATGGGGCTACACTGATCATCAGGGGACTGTTCGTCAGTGCCCTGATGATCAGTGTAGATGTCCCCTCTGAGGAAGGTCGATTACCGACTCTCCTCTCCTCATGAGCTGTCAGCGAATTTGCTTATTTACACGCGATCAGCTGTCAATGGACACAGCTGATCACATGACAGAGCCATCGTCATCTGTTTTTTCCACTGATCAGTGATCCGCTGTGTCCCAGGGACACAGCGCACCACCGATCGCCACGCAGCATGCCCCTGGGGGCGCACATGCACGTTTAGAATGGGAGGACATCATATGACATCCTCCCAGAACGAGAGAACCGCCGGCCTCCTGTCATTACCTTATATGGCAGGTGGGAGGCGGTTAAAAATGTGTGATTGTTATTGAGAATGTAAACTATCTCTGTGTATGAGGGGCCGCTCAGATCTGAAGTGACCCTGCCTCCCCTCCCAAGATCTAAATATGGCCCTATCTTTAGCCCTTTACTTTAAAGGTTATCTAACACCAACATTTTTTTTTCTATTGTGAACAGAGCAAGAAATTATTAGTAAATGTCAACTTTTTGTATCCCATTGGGGAGTTTTCCCTTGACTCTTTTTCCAGAGATGCCCGTAGCAAAAAACAAATATAGCGGAGGGCAGATATGACTGTGTGAATAGGGTAGTACAGCCAGGAAAGGGTTAATGATAGGCTGGCAAGGTTTTGAAATATGCAGGCTTACCTGATTGGTGATGTCATGGTGCAGGGTGGGATCTTTAGCACCTTTGGGAATGGGTGTAGGGTCACAATGCTTTCAGCACAGGGGTGCAGATGGAGGAAGAAACTTCCTTCCCATTCTCCCTTGTGTTTGTTTCAGGACTTCTGGCTTCTTGTCTGTTATGGCTCTTGGGTGTTTTGTTGGCTTTTGAGGTGGAAAAAAATTTGAAGCTAAAGTGAATGGTTGGGACCATCGGAGATATGGTGTCCTTGTGTGCATTCCAGTTAACCAAGGTTTAACTGAAAGGTGGATGTAGTGCATTGCAGATTGTGTGTTTTTGTCTCTGAGCCGGTGGGTTGCGGCTGGAGGCTTATTATTACTATTATGGTTAAGGTTCCACAGGGAATAACAGTATTGTTTTTGTGCCTTCTAAGACCAACAACCTTTATTGTTATGTTTCTGTTTTAAGGAATGTTTTGTGTGTTATATAAGTTGAATTGTTACTAAAAGGCTGTGATGGCCATTTTACTCCAATTGTTGGTTTGGTCTCCTTCATTTATTTAAGTAAGAGTTGGGGGGGGGGGGAGCTGCGTGAGGAGTATGTATCAGTAGCAATTTTTAAGTGTAGGAGTACATCTATTCTACACTAGTCATGGAACTAAGAGGAAATCTCTCCAAAGTGTGGAAAATCTTGCTCAGAATGTCACTGGAACAGGTTTCCCTATTGGAAGATATCCTCCCTATTCCTGTAACTTGACATCTTTAAATGTTCGAATTTGCCATTTCTTCTATTCTCACCTACAGTGATCACCAGACTAAGTAGAGAGCAAATCCCCTTAAAGGGGACATAGTCAGCAATGGAAGCCTGACAGGAGTTTAAATCCTCACCACTTGACCCAAAAGTTGAAAAAAAGTATTCACTTTAGATATAGTTTAAATTCACACCCCAGTCAGCTATTTTATTTCTATTTTACATGGAAGGAAGTCCAAATTTTTGCTTCTTTATTTTGCCCAGGTTTCAGGAGCTCTGGGCAAGATTTAATTTAAGGAGAAATAGTAACAAATACATGCCACACTTCACAAAATTGTAACCATCTATAGTGCACTTCAATAAACCATTTAATCATTAGTAAAGTACCAGTCATATATTAATATATTCACAGTCCACAGTGTACTAAGATCACAGTCCACAATGTTATTGGTATTATATGTTCTTTCCAATCACTTCTTATATCATTCCATTGCTTCATGCCACTGCAACTTTAATGTGACATAAACATCCCCTACCAGATGTGCTCTCACCTGGGATATATGACCGTACAATTAAGTATGGTTACTCAGCGCTTGCAACCCTCATAGTGGACTTATTAGAACATATCCCAAACAGATAAACTCCAAAGATGCTCCTTGATGACTCTTTTGTTCCTTTATAGGTATAAGCTCCACTCAATGACTCACCTCAGCCGCACATACAGTATAAAATGATAAACCACCAAACATAGTGCTTATCCTTTAAAACAATTTATTGCTTCTAAAAACTTCCAGACATACACTCACCTTTAACAGGTGCTAATACGCACCAGACTTTTGCAACATATATATTGCATCCAATAACAATAACGATCATATATATATAATAATAATATATTCACAGTGCATAGTTACTACACTGCCTCGAGTACAGAGTATCGTGATGCCATCCTCTTCCCTACGTATTACGCCACAGGGTCACATGGCTTCATCAGGGGATATGTTTGGATGGCATCAGCGGCGGACTGACAACTCATGGGGCCCCCGGGCAATAGGGGATCATGGGGCCCCTGTGTCCTTGCCCAAACTTAAAAAAGCCTATGAAAAAGGTACCAGGGGCATCTCATGGGACCCCCTACTGACCCCGGGCCCTCGGGTAGTGCCCGAGTTTCCAAATGATCAGTCCGCCCCTGAATGGCTTGACTCTCTCTATCCACTTTTACTGCAGGAGGCCAGCATGTACAGGCAAAGTGATGTTCCTGTATGTCATTTTTTTCCTGTACATACACAGGTTTGCTTCCTTTACTAGTGAGCTGTGATTGGCCCACAGCTATCAGATTGCCGTAGCCAATCACGGATCACTATTATTTAGAGCTGTCATGAATTTAACCCATTTATGAAAGTTCAAAGCATTCCTGGTACAATGATCTTCATTGTACCAGCAATCACAGTGTAAAAAAAAAAAATCCCTGATCATCCCTCCAGAGTAGTACAATGTTACTATGGTATGCTAAAAAATTAAAAAAACAATATTAAAATATTAAATTAAAAATTATTTAAATGTTTTTTTTTTTTTAAAATGCTGTCACCAGTAAGTGTCCCTGATCGCCACCACACCAGTCATGCTGTATTGTGCTGGTGACAGTATATAAAGGAAAAAAAATTAGATTAGATACTCCCAATGGGTTAATCACATCTAAGGGGATTCAGACTGCTACTTTCCTTAGTTCATTAGAACTCTGCAAGTGCAACAGCTAATCAATAATCTAAAAATCACTCCTATTCACATTCAAATTGCACATTGACACAAACAAACAGTTAGTTATTTCTTCTAAAGGTACTAAACGTAAGAATCTGCAACAAAGTTTGTTATAATCTCTGCAATGTACTCAGATCACCCAGAAGGGAATGTTTTATCAAACTGAAAAATATAAACGTGGAAAATATAAAAAATAAACTTGATTGTAGCATGATTGGCACTATGGACAGCAGAGGATATGCCACTTCCATTTATTTTTAGGAAAGCAATTCCTATTTTTATGTACAGAATGTTTACTACAATATTACTATTTTTTGTACATTCACATGCGAAAAAATTTACCTGTACTATCTATGGTATTTGTGTGCATTCGTGCATTAAATTTAGGTGCCCAAGTTTAATTTAGAATAAAAAACACACTGGTAGGCAAAGACAGTCATATGTTATATAGCCATCAGTGCAAAATGTTGGTATTGTGTCACTGTAGTGGGAAAATCTTTGTTTTAATGCTAGCCTTTTGTCTAGCTTTTTAACGGCCTCGACATAACATTTTAGGGGTGACTAATATTATCTTTGATCTGGCCCTCTTATGACTTAACACTGCCTAGTAAAATAGCATAAATATAACATGAATGGGTTTTATGCACTTCTCTGTGTTCTATGAAAGAGAATGCCTTAGGACCACCTGCCTATGCCTTGAGGACTACACAAATATAAACGGTTTTGTTAGCATCACATACGTGGAACATTATTTAAAGAGAACCTGCAAACCTTTCATTAAAATAAACTGCTTCTGGTGTAAAATCCAGGCATTTATATATCTCTTTAAATAACTTAAAGCTCAACTCCACATAAACAGTTAAATACACAGATGGAATACATAAATAAGAGCTACTTTACTTTCTAAAAGATTTGTATTTTTGACCATTAGTTCCCTAGATTTACAAAGTTCTAGCTCAAAGCACAGCCCTGTTTAGGAGGTGTGCAGGCTAGATATTCCTCTACTGCAGTTTCACTTTCGCTCACAGGTCCCATCCTTAAAGCCACCATGTGACAGGACAGTGAAAAGGGAAGCAGC